GATTAGGGTCTTAACTAACCTGTCCTCTGACCTCAACCTGCAAATATACAGTCACATTGGCAATTAGAGTTTTGACATGTGAATTTTGGGGCAACGCAATTCATTCCATAACTGCCACAAATTTCCCTGATGAGGAAATGATGATGAAGAGAACTCTTCTTCTAGAGTTATACTTTAAGGAAACATCTTGAGCACAATCAGAAACTAGACTTTTGGCAACAGGAAAAACAATAGCATTGGAAACTGTAGTGGATGCTGTGGTGTGTTACCCTATCATCCCCTTCAAAACTAGGGCATTCATTCCTCCAGCTGCTAGAAGTGTTGCCTGCTGAGTCATTTCAAGGCTAGGTTGCTTTCCAGAATTTCCCAAAGCCAAAATCAATTTCCTTGCTCAATGCTAGGTAGCAGTACAAATCCAAAGATGCACCAATATAGGCTTCCAAAGCCTAGCTCCTAAGCTTCTACATGAATGGGACAACTCAGAAGTGACATCCAAAGTCCAGACCTTCTTGTGTTGATGGCTAAATGCTTCATTGAGACTGCAGTGCAGCCCATCTTCTACCTCTGCCCAGTTCTGCTTTCCACCTTCTCTTCCACAGAGTAGAACAGAGAGCACTGAACACAAATCTGTATTATTATTCCCAAGAAATCTAATTATACATATGCCAAACATTGGAATGCTGAATGACACTAAAATAATCCATTTTAATGCCATCAATCTGCGGAACTAGAGGACATAATTTATATCCATATTGTTTTTAAATTATTGATTATTCCTTACTAAATTTGTTTGGTATTACATTGCACCACGATATAAGCACCATGGAGACAGGAATCTTATGAAATGACTTCTTAGAAGCATTCATAGCATCAAATAATATACCTGAAATATTGGGCATACCAATAAAGTATTTAAAATTATAGCTTATTGCATCTTCTCTAGAAAGCAGATAAATATCTTGGTATAGTTTTGCATGTACAATTATTTCCTATCCATCAAAGACTGGGTCAAAAGCTACTCCTTCATGATGTTTGCATTGATTTATCCCAGGTAAAAGAATCAATCCTCACTGAGTTTTCTGCTCCTTTGCAATGTCTGTTACTTCCTGCCACCTATTACAGTTATTTAGCTCTCTTTGCTACATTTTTTTTATTAAACAGCAAACCTTGAAGTTGAATGAAGGGAATTGCATCCGTTCTCCATGATGGCTGAAGAAGGTGTGGAGGAGGGAAGCCACATGTGGATGGAACCTTTTTGAAGCATAAACATTTGGGTACACTCTAAGATTTGGAACAATCTTCACCATGATCAGGAAATATGTTATATTGCAGTATCCCCTACTGTGCCTAAAAATGTAATGTGTTCACTTTGTCTTACAATTGATTTCTAATGACTTCAAACTTATGTATCTTCTTTGTGTCTTAAAGTAAATTTCAAATAATGGAATGTCAAGCATCAGAATAGAGGGGTAGAGGTGTACGTATATTGCAATTATGTCCTTGATACTGATTTAAGTAATCACTTCCTAACTGTACTCTAACATTGTTATAGATTATGAACTCTGGTGAATTTTATAGCTGCCACCTTTGTCTGCCTGATCCTATACTCTTAAATCTATCCAGTCCACATAAGCATGAAGTGGAACAAAGAAAACCAGTACAAACTAAACTTACATCTCCAGCATTACATCACAAAGTTCCAGACCCCCTCAATATCTCCTGAATAGGTTCATGCTCTTACTCAGTTCTGCTGCATAACAAGTTCTTGAGCTCTCAGAGTTCTCTCTCACTTCTAGAACTCATGTTGTTGTGGCATGTAGAATTTAACTGCTGCATCTTAAATATGCTACTTTTTGTAGGACATAGTTGGAGCTCACACTCTTTCTCTTCTTTAGATATTTGAGTCAATGAACTGTTTTCAACAAGTATGAATAATTGCTGTTTTTCAGATACCTTCTGCTTAATTTAGGTTCCCAGAAATAAATACTGAGATGGAGATTTGTGGGCAAGACTTTTTTTTTCTTGGTGAGTGCTGTCTTCAAGATTGTCCTCAGTTGGGGTGAGGTGCTTTTTATGCGTCTCCATGAAAAAGTTATTTGAGGTAGGCTGCCTCCAGGGGAGAGGATGTGATCTTGGCAAGACAGCTGTCTTTATCTGAGGCAATTCTCCAAGATGCTTGACAACTGAGGGCTGTCTGTTGGCAGCATTCCCAGCAGCTGAGGAATAAGTCCTTTTCTGTCTTAAAGCGAGATCTGGACAGTGTTGCATAGGCTCCTCTAGTTGGTAAGGTCTAAGAACCTTCCAATAGGTAAAAATGTCTTAATAACCTAATTTTTGGAAATATATCATAAGAAAAATTTCAGTGTGATGGTCTTCCTGTAAGAATAATACAGTATTTCTCAAAGTGTGATTCTGAAACACTACTACTATTAGGAATATGTTGAATACTGAATAACAATCTCTGGAGATTGGTTCAAGGTCATTATATTAATTAATACTCCTCTAAAACCAAGTGAATCAGACCTTCTAGAGTCTGTGGAAAAGACTGCTATGTAAGAGGGAGGATTTTCCTGGTCTTAAGGCAAAGCCGTCTTTACTGGTATGTGTGTGTGTGTGGATGGGGGGCAAGGGAGGCAGGTGTGTGTGTGTGTGTGTGTGTGTGTGTATTGAATGAATGATAAGTATTCATGTTGATAATGTGACACACAAAACAATTTAAGTGCAAATTGTATATGAAGGCCTATTTTAACAAAAACAGTATTTTGAGGATTTAGGGTTTTTTTGTTGTTAAAATGGACTTTGAATGAGTGTTGACAAATTTTTGAAAGAGGAGTAAATTCATTGGAATGTAAGATATTTAGCCATTTTAAGTATCCATAAGCAACGTCAGTTATCCAAAATCATTTGGAAGACTTTGGATAAATGGGAATTTGGTTAAAATGTCTTGTTAGATGGTGGCCAGGAATAAATCACCAGCTAGTGAAATTCATCTAGTAATAACCTGGGATCTACCAAACAAAACTGTTTTGTGCACAGAAACTGCAAAAGATGATATAAATGTTGGCCTTCAAGGTAGCCATGATTTTTAAAATTATCACAATGAATCAAATTCATTGTCATTAATAGCTCTGTCAGCCCCTTGCCTTCCAACTCAATGAAGATGACTCAACATTTACATCTCCATCTGCAATATCTTGGCTAATCTCCAGATATATTAATTCAAATTCCTGCTTGAAATCTCTACTTAGATTTCATAAAATTCCACTCGAGCATTAACAGAGCCAAAAGCAAACCTTTTATTCTCTACCACATCATTCCAAATCTGTTTGTTCTCTGGTATCCCTATGTCATTAAGTAATGCCACCATATTGAAATTGTTCAACTCAAAACTTGGAAAACAACCACAATCCATGACTCCTTCAGCACCTTCCTAAAGCTAAATGTAGTATAATTGTCCCCAACTAGCCTCTTTTTCACTCTTCTCTCAACTCCAAGCCTATATTGTCTCCATACAGCAGCCAGAGTCATCTTTTCATATTATCATTAGGTAGCATTATTACCCTTTTGAAATATCATCAAAATCTTTTCATAATACATTTTATAACATACCAATGACACCTATCATATCCTACACATTCCTACTTGGCATGACCCCTGCTCATTTTTCCAAATCTTTTATCATTCTTTTCTTTGTTTATTCTTCAAAGCACAATGGCATTCCTGTTAATTTTGGGAAAATAAAAGTGAGTTCTTATCTTGGAAATTTTTTCTTGCTGTATTCTTCTTCTGGAATGATCAGCCTCCAGATCTTCTCCAGGAGGAAGTCTGAATATTCCCACATGAACCCAAATATTATCTTTCAGCCAGGCTTTTTCTTACAATCCAATATAAATCACCACCTCGCCCATCTTCCCCTAACATATCACCTTTTATTTATTTATTACATTTGTCATTATACTATTTATTAGTGCTTGTGAATATTATTCTTAAGATAATTGAAACTCTACAGATAAAGTATCTTGCTTGGCTTATTGGCTACCATGTTTTCAGCTTCAGTAACAATGTTTGCATATTGCAAACACTCAACATATATTTTGAATTAATGAATTGATATCAACCATAATAGAAATCACTAATTTTATTTAGCCCTTAATATGCACCAATTTTAAGCAATTTAAATGCGCTATTTCATTCCATTTTTATATTGGCTTTATGAGGCACCACTATACTAAAGAAAATTACAATTGTTAAAAAATTATAGTTTTATCCTGGTAGAATTTACATTAATAAACTTACGAGTGTCTTTATTATCTGTTTATTATATAAGGAAATAAAAGTGTTTACTAATTTTTAAATTAATTCCTACATAATTTCAGGGTGAAAAAGAATATACTAAGAGTAGTATATGTGAACTGGGGTATTTTTGTAAAACACTATCTTGGTACACTTTGTGTTGCTATAAAAATACCTGAGATTGGGTAATTTAAACAAACAAAGAAGAGCTTCATGTAGCTCATGGATCTTCAGGCTGAGAAGTTCAAGACATAGCCCTGGCTTCCAGCAAGGGCTTTCTTCCTGTATTACAACAAGTGGAGAATGGTGGAGAAGGACAAAAAGGAAGTGGACTCATGTGAAATGAGAAAACATGAGTGGTGTCCTGGCTTTATGAAAAACTCATTCTGGTGGAAACTAATCCATTTCCCCAAGAATAATCCAGCTTCACAAGAGTGAGAACTGACTCATTACTGCTATATCAGCACCAAGTCATTCATAGGGATCTCTACCCCTAACCAATTACCTCCTAGTAGGTCCCACCTCTCAATACCACTGCATGGGGATCACATTTCTATATGGGTTTTAGTGGAGGAAAACGAATCATACCCAAACCATAGTAAACCGAAACATTTTCGTTGGCAACGTCAAAAATCTACTTACTTAAAGCAGATGAACCAGTGTCTAGAAGCAGAGCATCTTTTAGTTATACACACATATTATGCTAATGGAGCGTATTCTTTTATTACTATAAAGTATTCTGAAAATGTCCTCAAATTGTTTTGGAAAATAATTCATGGGAAAAATAACAAATGCTCATAGAACTGCATGAAGCAATACTGCTCGAAAACAAAATAAAATATGTGATAGTGTTTTATTGATGGTAACAATATTATCTAGTACTTGGTTGGCAAGATTAATATGTATCTAGGACTTGGAGCTATTAAAACCCATCAAAAGTATCTCATTAGATGTTAAAGTATTAAGGAAATAGAATTGCAATTATCTAAATCATCAAAACAAGTCTGCTTAAAATTTTATTCTCAGAGGTTTAGTAAAGAAGATATGGCATTTTAAAATAAATAGTGCTTGTGACCATTTACTTAAAATAATCATGTGATTCTTCATCTTGGCCATGTAAAGAAGTATGAGTTACTGCCTCTGAGTTGGCCTGAGATGACAAGACTTTCAAGGTGAGGATATCTCATAAATTCCCTGAGTGTTAGCTAATAATACTTAGTGTCATTCTATCCTTCCAAATAAGTTGAATACCAAGTGCAAGCTATGGATTTGGGAAAATGGGCAGAAGAACTTAAGAATGTTTTGGAATAACCAGATTTAAAAACTATAATTTAAGATGCTTTGTCGTTGTTGTTGTTTTTGGAGTAGAGACAATAAATTTAGCTTCATAATCAATAGAGTCTGAGATTATGGTCAGGGAGGTTATTATCTGGTTCTGATCTGGGTAACCTCTAGCTTTATTTCTTTTTATTTATGGTATTTACCATTGAAAAGTGCATATTAGAAAACTTATCCCGGTGTGGTGGTGTGCACCTGTAGTCCCAGCTACTTGGGAGACTGAGGCAGGAGAATCTCTTGAACTTGGGAGGCAGAGGTTACAGTGATCTGAGATCGCACCAAAAAAAAAAAAAAAGTATTAATTATAGATAAAACTAAATGCTCACTACATACCTCATTCTATCAGCCATTCTGTTTGATAAATTTCATGATCAGTAATCCTTAATGTGGAAAATAAAGACTCAGATAATTAAGTAAATTCCCAAATTCAGGTCCAATGTTGATTAGAAAACACTGGGACCCAATCAATTGTCCTCAGTCTGTTCTTGAACCCTCTTCTTCCATTTCCTTTTATGTAAGTTCAATGCAAGACTACACAATGATCACCACCATGCCAGACCCCATAGGAGGTAGCAAAGGAAAAAGAATACCTAGCTGGATCTAATTCATATATTTGTGCTGATACTTAAATGTGATTTTTTAAAATGCTAAGCACATTGACTGGCTTATGGTTATGTTTATCAAATCATGGAGTTTATTTTTTCTCCTCCTCCTCCTATTTGTTGATGATGGTGATGATAATGATAATGATGACTATTTCTGTCTTTAGGAATTGAAATCTAATGAAAGCAACAAATATAAAGACAAATAAAATCATTAAATGAAAGAAATTTGGTAGATGTTACAGGTGCTATGAGTACAGGAGATGAGTCTTAGAGTATTTTGTTTAAGAGATATCTTACATTTTGAGTATGATTTAGCTTAGTAGAGGAGAAGGAATTCTCAGCATTAAAACTTTCTTGAGCATAGATGTGAAAGAAACTGTCTCAATCCCAAATCAACTTGAGGTTGAGTAGATAGTGGTAGAAGATCCTCTTCCGGAGATTCTGACCCCTTCTCTTCAATGCAGACCATCAAATCTCCTGAGGTTTATAAAGCTCCCAGCCAAATCTCACTCCATTCAGAAGTGTCAGATTTCCCTACAAGAGAGGAATAAAAAGGAAAACCTCTGTGGTGTCACATATATTCATCTCTCTCAAGATATACTTTAGAGCTAAAATGTTCTGTCCCTGATTCAACAGAGAGGCCTGTTGTAGGACTTTCTAGAAGCAATGGCTCTGTGAATACCTGTTCTAGTTCTGATAACTTTCTCTGTGAAACTTTCTGGTATTAAATTGAC